CAGAGATGGTAGCAGAGCCAGTGTACTGACTAGACGGGGTGTTAGCAAATAGCGAGGCACAGCCTTCCTGTCCATAAGGCCAGAACAAGGGGTCGTTGGAGCTGGGTGAATCTAGATCCCAAAAGCCACAAGATGTGAATCTGCGTTTGTCAAAATGAATTTGAACGAGGATGCAGGAGTCCACCTTTAGGATTCATAATGTTTAGCGAACCTGGAAATAAATGAACATTCCTTGTGAACACACCCATCTCAGCCATGAGCTCATAATTAATTCTCAGTAGCAGCTGTAAAACTGAGATGATACCCTCCGGTCACATGCACATCTCTTGCTGGTGTGCTTGTATAAGTTGTTCTGTGGACTTTGCTGTGCTGACAAACTGCCCATCGTGACAGCTGACGTTTCTGACATTCATGGCTTCAGAACAGAGTGAAAAGAGGTGACTTGCCATGCGTGAGCATCACAAGGACAAGCATGTAGGGTATTAGCATGGCTTGAGTTCTTTCACAGGACTTGTAGGCTCTGGAACATAGCCCTGACATCTGCTTCTCTTGAAACCTTGCTGTTTGTTGTGTGTTTCTAAAACATGATGGGATTTATATATGACTTTTCTATCAGCAATCATTTTGTGTGAATTCATGATTGATTCCTTTTCTCTGGCATTAAGTTTAAGCAATATTGGGGATTGGAAAATGGTGTCAAGATTATTGATGGAAATTTTGGCTTACTTTATGGCAAAGTCATTAATCAACCTCTTCCAGAAATCTGTTTTATAGGCTAAGTTGTCATATCCCTGACATCTTTCTTTAGGACATCTAATCATTAGCATTTTTTTAAAATGTAGAATATTGCCCTTACTATGGTTAAGTATACATTCGTATGCACGGGCACAGTCAGAAACAATGGGAATAAACAGGTGTCACCCACTGTAAATGCTCAGTTGAGTTTCGGGTTTCATATGGATTCAGTGATAAAGTGCCAGGCTGGTTTATCATTACGTTAACAATGTAGCGCTGGGTCTAAGCCCCGAGAACACAGAGGCGCGTTTCCTCCACTTCTGTTTCTTTTCCTCACTAAGCACAATGCTTGACACTTGAAGAAGCTCAGTAATTAATGGTCCGTTGAGTTTTAAGAAGGAAAGACGTCTCTGCATTATAATAGTAAGCATCACTGCCATCAGGTTTTGTGTAGTAGAGGATAATGTTTCCCTTCTGATCTGAGTGCTGATGAGGAGGCAAAACAACAAAGGGGAGTCTGTGAACAGTAAGAAAACTAATCAAACCCTGTAATCAGTCAGCCAAACAACATGCACCACGGCTTCCTCTTCAGTCCTTGTAAGTCCCTGTTACTCCACGATTACTACGCTGCCTGATTTACAGTGAATCAGGCTTTTCTGAGTCTTCGTCTTGGAGGGTCCTGGGATGCTTTGGGAATCTACCTTAGATAATTGGCTTGTGAGTGTGCTCTCTCTCTCCTGCCTCTCCCTCCCCTCCCTCCTTCCCCCTCCC